TTGACTGCAATGACAAGAGATTTACCCGACTACAGAAAGTTGGACAAATGAAGAATTAGGAAATGGAGAACTATGAAAAAAAAAAGTTGGCTTTGAAAATCTAAAAATTAATAATAATGGATTTCTTTAGTTACACTTAGGTTGAACGTTAAAAATCTTATAATTATGGGATGGTTGGATTATTATATTTACCTTTTCTCCAGTTTTTACTAATTGAGATTTAAGCAATATTCTTCATTTTAAACAGCTGTTAGATAGAAACAAAACTGAACAAGACGATCACATCCTATTGAAGTTTGTCAATATAAAAATAGGGAAATTTAAAGAATGAAGAAGTTACCAAGCAAAAGGTTTTGAAGGAGGTTAAGAATTGGATATAGGAGCCAAATGCCAATATTTTTCACAAGTTCCTGAATAAATGACAAATGCTAAAGAGGATGGAAGTTGCCCAATGTTATTCCTCTTTTCAATGAAGGTGATAAAAATTGTCCCAGTAATTACAGGTTTATTAGCCTTGCATCAGTGATAGGAAAGTTTTCTCGTCTGATAAAAGATGCTTTACAAAGTCATTTAACAAATCTTAAAATTTCGTTAGATAGTCAGTAGTTTCACCGAGGGAAAACTTGCCTTATTAATCTTTTGACAATCTTTGAAAAACTTACTGCTTGTGTCAATAAGGGTACAAGAGTGGTTATGCCTCATTTGGAGCATTGTGATTGATCTTAGACTGGTTCAGAGGATGACTACTAGGATGTGATTGAAGTGTTAAGGGAATTTAGTGTCAACACATTTTTCTTTTGTATTTAACAGTATGAAAGCAAGACTAGGAAATACAAATAGAAATTTGGGCAGGGTAGAAGTCAGCTCCAGCTATGAAATCTTTACTTTTGTAACAAAGTGGTTGACCTTTCAAATACGTTGTCTTCAGATGTGGATGCAGTTAATGTAAGGGAATGCTTGAATGAATTTCAATGATAAGGGCCAGCTTATTTTATTTTAGAATAGGTTAAAATTCAAACTTTAGAACTATATATTACTAAATTTTTAATTTAAAAGTAAATATTAAAAAAAAACACAGGTGCAACTGATTTGAAGTAATGGCAGAAGAAAGACTAAGCTTTGAGAAAAGGAAATTTATCCTAAAGTGCTATTGGAAGTGCAAGAACGTAGCTGAAGTGCAAAGACTGTTTAGAAGGAGGTTTCAAACAGATCCACCTACATGACTCACCAATACTCGCATCAGAAACAAGTTTGAAGCAGATGGAACTGTTCAAGATGTCCACAATGAGCGTTCTGGAAGACCGCAGTCATCCACCAGTCCTACAAGAGAAGCAGGGCTGCTAGAAAGTCTCCATCGATCTCGAAGAAAATCTGTTCGACAAGCGGCCCGTGAGACAGGAATTTCAAAATCAAGCATCCCTCGCATCTTTAAGCGTATTCATTGGGAAAGTTTTATTCCGGCATTAGTCCACACCCTCAACAAAGATGATCCTGACCGGAGAGTTGAACTTTGTGAGTGGCACCTAGCAAAATGTGAAGAGGATGCACAGGTTCCAAACAAGATTGTCTGGAGTGACGAGGCCACATTTAAGTTAAATGGCTCAGTTAATCACCACAATTGCACCTACTGAGCACCTCTGAACCTGCATGTTATGACTGAACACCACGTAAACTTACCAGGGATACCTCAAATATAAGGTTTATAGCACAAAACCTGCAACAATCAATGAGTTAAAAGCAGCAATTGAAAGAGAATGTGCCAAAATAACAAATGAAATGATTCGTGATGTTTGCAATTCCATCTGTCATCGTTATCAGCAGTGCCTGGACTAGAATAGTCATCAGTTCGAACACCTGCAATAACTCAAAATATTCTACACTTGTCTTCTTTAACTTGGATTATAAAACTCGGATATATATTTTAATAAACATTCTATTTATAATCATTGAAAATGTGTATACATTTTTTGGGACACCCTGTGTATGACATGAATAACTAATCAGAAGCTCAGAATGCCCACCTAGTGGTTTTCTCAGCCTTTCTAACATACTTAATGCCATTTCCTTCTTTTGAACCAAGATTTCAATGAGGTAGGTTGTGTCTTTAGTCTGCTCAAAATTCCATATTTTTTTAGACCCAAATACAGCTTAGTTACTAAGTTTGATAAATTATAGCAGAATTCTATGGTTTTGACTAGTAATTTATGATTTTTTAGCTATTCTAAAAGTATATATAAAAACCTAAAAAAAATTGTTTCACATCCTCTATGTGCAAAATTCTTTAAAGGCTTAGCCACCTACGTAAAGCAGCAACAGAGTACAAAGGTCTTAACTAGAAGAAATAATTGTTTGTTTTACTTCTTTATTTAGTAAAAACAACTAAACTTATTTCAAAATAGCAATAATCTGTACTTTGTACAGACCAAAGGTCAACTTTGTTATTTGATACAGTAACATGAGTGCACATGAGCCACGTTGTTGTAACTTCTGTATTGTTAGCTAGGCACGGGTGAAAGGTTAATATCATAAAAAAATACAAAAATGTATAATGTTACAAGATTTAAGCCATTTCATCTAAATGTTTGTTTTCGTGCTACAATTTGTCTTCATTCTAGAGTGAAATTGCATATTTATGTTTATCCCCCCCCCCTTTCTTTTTTTAAATGGTGGTTGTAAGAAAGATTGGTCAAATTTACCAAACCTGTACAGAGATTAATTACTGAAAATAACAGATAAAATATAGTTTTTCTTAAGAAATGTTTGATAACTATCCAAACATTATAAAGATTTCGCATACATTTTCTGATGCATAAAAGTATTTTTAATCTTAAAATGCAAATTACTTTGCATGATAGATAGGCATGATGTGAAAAACAAAAAAGGCATGAGAGAAACATTGCTTTACAAACCTTAAGACTTAATTAAAATATTAGATATTTTGTGTGTGAAAGCGTTGTAACGTTTACTGAAAAACTGCCACATTTCGTTAACATTTGCTTACTAATTTAAAAGTTATAGCATGTAAACTATAACAAGCACAAAATGGTTATGAAGTCAGTCCCAGGTACCGAGGCCAGGTTGAAAGAGTTAAATAATTTGGTAATACTACATATATTGGTAGTTATAATTTTGTACAAGTAGAATATTTAATGATATAGCCACCTCACAGTACCCAATTTAAAACATTAGTTACAACTGAATTTTAATAGTGGAGTGTTGTGAAAAGCTAGTTGAATGTGAAAGTGTATTTTAATACAGTTACCAAATCTTAGCCTTTCACATAACGGCTAAACACTTCAAAACCCATGGCTTTCTGTCAGCTAGCCACTGCTATTTTTTAGCAATAGCATAATACACCAGGGAGTCTGGATAAATGTTCACCCCCCCCCCCCTTTATTTTATTTTTAACAGCCAACTTCAGAATACTTTTGTAGAGCTAATGTTTGTACTTCAAATATGAGCAAAACTAAAATAAAATTTCAGCATTAATATCAAAATAATTGTCACATCCATTTGAATTAATATCTAAATTCAAATACATAGGTTTATTATAAAGAAAGTTCAATATTACAAATGATTAAACCTCAAAACTACTCTTAACCCATTAACTGCTGCAGGAGCAGCTCAGTTGCCATTTTCTGACTCACAGATAAAACCGAGTTGCCATGAATCACAATAAAACAATTATTGTCATTCGCATAGAGTTATAGTTATGTATTTATGTATGTATGTATGTATGTATGCATGTATGCATGTGCAACTGATGGATGTTTCCATCATTCGCAGCTGAGCCATAGAACTTAATGACAGAAATATCCATCATCCGCAGTTAATGGGTTAAAGTTCAAAGACATTTTTTATACTTAAGAATGCATGCGTTTTCAAATAAGTATTCAATACATCTGAAAACAAGATAAAAAAAAAACTAAAATGTTATTAATAATATGAAGGAGTTAAGAATTTGAATTTATGCTGAATAGACATTAAAATACTAAGAATTTTTAAATTTTTTGTTTTTTGGTTTTTAAACAATAAAAGTTGTTGCACTTATTAGATTATGAATAATAACAGCAATGGTGCTGCCACTATTTACAGCCAGTTTACCTAGTATGTCTATGCAATATATTTAAGAATTTACTTCCCTTAAAAAATATTTTATATATTTTTTTTACCTACATTCCAAAATAGTGGCAATTATCAACACTAGTAACTTGAGGAAGTATCACATCTTCAAGTATGTGCCTTCAACTTTGTACAACCTACCTAACATCCTGCACTATTAAGATATTCCCCCAACTTTTCTACTACAACATTCAGTTTACCAGGAGATTCACCGTCTTCAGCGGCAGCTACAATAATACCTGCGAGGAGAGAGAGAGAGAGAGAGAAGAAATAAAAAAAAAAGGTTGATATTATGTACAAAGTATCAAAATCTGATGAAGAATTAATCAAATGTGAACACAATATATTGTACTTCCTCAATTATATAACTTATGAAGGCTTTTTTTTTCTTCTTCTTTTTTTTTTTTTTTTTTTTTTTTTTTTTTTTTTTTTT